GCCCCGCCGCGCCGCCGGAGCTGACGCACGGACACCTCGGGAATGCCGGGAGCCTCGGGAATGCCGGGAGCCGCGGGAGCTGACGCATGGACACCTTGGGAGCCTTGGGGACGGGCCCTTTCCAAGCACCACCAGGCACCAAGCGGGGTTTGTCCCCTCGTCCCGCTCTTCTTTTCTATAAAATAAATAAAAATGGATTCTAAAATGTGGGTCTCTGGAGGGGGATACAGCGCGCGGTGCTGCACGGCTTGGATGGGTTGGGAACCTCCGGCTTCCTTTGGCTTCTGCCATCCTGCTCGGAGCAGGGAGTGGGAATCGGGGCCCATATAAATGCACATGAATGCAGCGTCCCACTGCATCCTCACTGGATGCTCCACATCCTGCTGCATCCTTGCTGGGTGCTCCGTGTCCCTCCACATCCTCACTGGATGCTCCACATCCCACGGCACCCTTGCTGGGTGCTCCACATCCCCCTACATCCTCACTGGATACTCCGCACCCTGCTGCATCCTTGCTGGGTGCTCTGTATCCCAGTGCATCCTCACTGGAGGCCCCATCCCGGCCGATCCCGGCGCCCCGGAGAGGCGGGGGCGACGCTCCCAGCGCCACAGCTTTGCCAGGAGCCACAGGGAAAGGGCAGGCAGCGGGGAGGGAAGGAAGAGTGTGAAAACAGATGGAAATTTAATTTTTTAATGACAGCAGCAGATGGCAAAAGACACAGAAGTGTATTCACACCGTGTCAGAGCCGCTCCGCGGGCGCCTGGCGCAGCCGGGATGCGGCCGCGGCGACGGCGGGTGCCGCTCCCCAGGGACGGGAGGCTCCGGATTCGGGGGGATCCAGCCTCCCCGCTGCCCCCCGGGGTCTCCGAGTGCAGCAGGGCCGGGCGGTGGGGACGGGTATCCGAGGGAGCCGTCACTGCGGATGATGGATTGGGATTGGTGTTGCCACGGCGACCCGACATCCCGAAATGACGCCCCGGTGCTCCCCATCCATCCTGCAGCATCCCCGCAGGAGCCAATGGAAAGGAGTGTAAGGGATGGATGGATGGATGGATGGATGGACGGATGGATGGATGGATGGATGGGGCCAGTGTCAGGATGATGGGATGAGGATGGAGGCACACGAGTGTGTGTGAGCGGAGGCAGGACTAGATCGGATGGGAAGAGGAAAGACGGGAGGATGGAGCATGGATGGGGAAGGAGGGATCGATGCATGGAGGGAGGGATGATGGCTGGTATGAGAGCATGGGCGGCTGCTCGGGATAAAGGGCCTGACGGACGGACGGATGGATGGATGGACGGACTGATGGTTGGCTGGCACACAGGTGGGAAGGGATGGGTGGATGGATGAATGGATGGATAGCTGGATAAGGTGACCCATGGATGAATGGGTCATTCCAATGTCCATGGCAGGACACCTGGATGGGGTAGGATAACAGGCACTGCATGAKAGCTGACGGCAGAGACCCTGGCCCATGCCCGGGGGTGTCCCAGGGTATCCCAGAGTGTCCAGGGGTATCCCGGGATGTCCCCCCCGTCCCGCCGCCCCCTCGGGTGGCGCCCCTTCCCCGCCCGCAGGGGGCGCAGCGGGGCGGTGCGCAGTGCGCATGCGCAGAGGCCGACCAAGGCAAGGGTCCCTCGGCGCCCTGGCAACAAGTGCTGGGAGCTGATTGGCCAAGAGACTGCTCCCCCCTCCAGGCTCTCCGTCCGCCCCGCTGCAGCCTAGCCAATCACAGAGTAGAACGAGAGGCTAAGACCCAATAAGGAATAGAAGCGTCTCAGTCCACCAATGAGCGATCAAGCGGCTCTTCCGGRAAACCAATCAGAACGCCCCGAGCCGCTCGAACCTCCGCCCCGCCGCAAAAACCCGCGAAAAATGGGTCTGCCGGTGGCGGGAAGCGGGGCGCTGTGGGCGGGGCTTGGGCGCCGCTCAGCCAATGGGGAGGGCGGCCGCGCCGCGCCGGGGTTGCGGGTGCAGCGCCGGCGGGGTCCGCCCGGGTCCCGCGACCCGCGGCCATGGAGCCGGCCGAGGCGGAGTTCCTGGCCGAGAAGGAGCTGGTCACCATCGTGCCCAACTTCAGCCTGGACCGCATC